GCCTGCCCAGGGCAAAGCAGAGGGGCAGGATGACCTCCCTCCTCCTGCTGGTCACGCTCTTCCTGATGCCTTCCAGGAGTCCCTTGGCCTTCTTGGCCACCAGGACCCATTGCTGGCTCATGGGCACCCTGTTGCCCACCAGAACTCCCAGGTCTTTCTCCTCAGAGCTGCTGTTTGTGTCCTGTTCCATTTGTATTTGATTTTTCCCTCTCAGTCTGTACATTGTGTAGGGGTAGGACACGCTCAGTGGTTTCAAAGTGCCGTGTAAATATAATTTTAAGTAGTGTTTTAGTCCCTCCTCACCCCAGAAAGGCTGAATAAATACTTAGGTACAGCATTTGAAAGGCGGTTTGGAAACACAGTGGTTCTGGAGTTGTTTATCCAGGACCAGGCTCTCCATCCCGTGGAGTTGGGCATTAAAAATTCCTGCCCAAAGCACTTAGGGGTTGGGATGACGCTAACGAGTCGCTCTGTCTCCCGTGTTCAAGGGAAGCCGCCTGTCACAAGTGTTTATTCTGTTGTACGGCTGTTTACAGAGGGCTTTGCCTGAAATTATGTTTTAATGTCAGCTGGGAAAGGGTAGAAATCATTAAGGGATAGAGGGAGAACATCCCATGATACTCCCCAGGTCCCTTAATTGCTCTCTGCTACTTCCGACACGCGCGGGACCTGCCATGTCTGGGCAGAGCTCGTCGCTCTGCGTTTCTGGCTGATAAAAGACATTATTAGTTTCTAAAGGATTGTCCGAGGTGGAGCCTGATCCTGGCGTTTGAACCCGAGTCCTAAAACCAGTCGAATGAGGTTTGTAGGACAGGTCCATGCCTTCAAAAAGCACCTTTGAGAGGGCACCGGGGGTCTGATGGGGACCCATTTCTGACACCCATTGTCAAGCAAGGGCTTTTCTGACCTGTTTGTCGTTCCTGGTCATGTGTGGAAGCTACAAAGCTGTTTCTGCCCCCTAATTATCTAAAAATATTTTTATGGTTTGAGGAAACCCATAATGTCGTTTCAAGATTTCTTCTATCATCACCCAATGACCCCTCCCCACCCGGGAAGGGGATTCGGGGAGCACAAAGAAACAAGGGGGTTGAAATATAAATAGATTTAATAGGTTAGGGCTAAATAATTAACAATGATACTAAAAATCAGTATTGATCCCCATAAAGTAAATCTTTTCCCAAATTCAGACACTGGAGTATTCTAAAAGTGCATTTTTTTCCAGCGTTAGAAGGAAAGTTAGTCCTGTGTCGCCCAACCCAGGACAAGTAGAAAGGTTGTGATGCTCTTAGAAGGTGTTGGGATTTGATGAAGCCCTCGTGGCTGTGGCTCCACCAAAGCCCCTGAAGCAGCAGATCTGACCGTCGCGGCAAAGGATGTCACCGCTGCCCATCTCCTCACTGGAGTGGGCTGCAGTGATTTCTTCCCACCATAAAGAGCTCAGGATATGGAAGGTCAAAAAGAGAGAGAAGATGAGGACTTCAGGGCTGGGCTGTGCAGGGCCGAGAGCTGGCTGTTGGCACGGGAACATGGAGGAAACTCATGGGACAAGCCCTGTGGGCAGTTTCCTTAAGTGAGGGCTTTGCGTTGGCCAACGTGCACCCATGAGTCACCTCCGTGGAGATGAGAGACTTTCTCTTCTCATCTCACTCTCCTTTGCTCAGCGCTTGGCTCTCGTCCCGTCCGCTCTGTCATCGTTCCGCCGGAGGCGTTCAACTCGCCGGAGCGAGCTGGAGGATGTTTCTCATATTTGTGAGACAACTCATTGTTGACATTTCAGAAGCTGAGGCCATGGCTCCGAGCTCGGCAGCGACTTGGAGCCAGCACTAAACGGGCTTTTTTCTCCCCTCGGCTGTTGGAGAGGGCACGGGGCAGATGGATGGATGCGGGACCCGGAGATGGATGGGTGTTTGGCCAAGGAGGTGGATGGGTATTGGGCCAGGGAGATGGATGGGTGTTGGACCAGGGAGATTGATGGGTGTTGGGCCAAGGAGATGGGTGGATGTTTGACCGGGGAGACAGATGGATGTGAGACCAGGGAGACAGATGGATGTGAGACCAGGGAGACAAATGGATGTTGGGCACAGGAGATGGGTGGACGTTGAGCAGGGAAGATAAATGGACATTTGGCCAGGAAGATAAATGGACGTTGGGCCAAAGAGATGGATGGATTTTGGTCCAGGGAGATGGATGAATGTTGGACCAGAGAGATGGATGGATGTTGGACCGGAGAGATGGATGGATGTTGGGCCAGGGAGGTGGATGGATGTTGGACCAGAGAGATGGATGGATGTTGGACCGGAGAGATGGATGGATATTGGGCCAAGGAGGTGGATGGACATGGAGCCAAGGAGATGGGTGGACATTGGACAGGGGAGATGGGTGGATGTTGGACCGGAGAGATGGATGGATGTTGGACCAGGGAGATGGGTAGATGTTGGGCTGGGGAGGTCTTGGAACCAGGGAGATGGATGGATATTGGACCAGGGAGATGGATGGATGTTGGGCCAGGGGTGTGTGAGGTGGTGGCCGTTGGCAGCGGTGACATCCAGCGCTGTCATCCAGCCCAATTCTGACATCCAGCCCAATTCACACCGTTGCTGTAAGTAAAACTCCACCACGTGGCAAAGACAGAAGCTTCATTTCCAAAGGTTTCCTTATTTTCCTCTGTGTCAGCTCCAAAAATAATCCACAAATCCACAGGTGAGGCAGGGGAATGAGGAACATTCACCTGGTGCTGCTGCTCCTGCTCCACCTCCTCCCAGATCCCTTGCTCAAGCTGTTTACACCCATTTTCTGACAGCATTTCTCCATCTTTATGTTTTTTTTAAGCTGATACTTGTGTGTTGCCCGGGTCTGCAGGAGGGGCTGAGCCTCTCGGAGCGTGGTGCCGGCAGGTTTAGCTGGATTCGGTGTTTTGGGGGTTTGGACAACGTGGTGAGGATGAATGTACTTTTTTTGGGAGTTTGGAGACAGCAACATTGCTGGGAAGATATAAAATGGAGTGATTTCACTTGGCATCTGCCAGCGCTTTGGGTGTTGCCTCTCCGAGGACCTCGGGCCCTTCTGGTGACACTGCAAAAGGCACCGTCTGAGGCTTTTCTTCTCTCTGGTGGCCTCGTTGCACATTTGTCTCTCATGAGTTGGAAAAACAGCATTAAATCAACCACCCTGAGATGTTTGTTGTCGGAGGCTGCTGTTGGGAAAGCACCGGTCCTTCTGAGTGGGGTGGGGGGGTCAGCTGAGGTTAAACGTGTGTCAGCCCATCCTAGAATCATGGAATGGTTTGGGTGGGAAAGGACCTTAAAGACCATCCAGTCTGATGTCCCACCATCGTGGTGGGACACCTCCCATCAGAGCAGGTTGCTCCAAGCCCCCTCCAACCTGGCCTTGAACCCCTCCAGGGATGGGGCAGCCACAGCTTCTCGGGGCAACTTGGTCAACCAGGTCTCACCACCCTCCCACCAAACAAGTTCTTCCCCACATCTCAGCTCCATCTCCCCTCTTTCAGGGTCAAACCCTTCCCCCTTCTCCTAGGGCTCCTCATCAAGGGCTCCTCCCCAGCTTTCCTGGAGCTCCCCCCCCCACCTTTGAGGGACTGGCCTCCTCTGGCCCCATCCAACAGCTCCATGTCCTTCTGACATTGATGGCCCCAGAGCCCCTCCCAGCAGAGGGGCTCCAGCCCTCCCAGCATCTCCATGGCCTCCTCTGGCCCCATCCAACAGCTCCATGTCCTTCTGACGTTGATGGCCCCAGAGCTGGACACAGTCCTCAAGGTGGGGCCTCATCATGTCTGTGCTTAATCTGTAGCACCCCTTCCTGTGTAGAACCAACAAAAGTAGTCACACAAGCAGCCAGGTAGAGGCTGAGGACACACAGGATGGCCCGGAGTATCCCAGGGGGATTATTTCTTGTCTAATTATCCACAGGATTAAAAATCTCCACCCCAGCTCACTCTGGAATAGTGATGTTTTTTAACTCTGGAGATGTTTTCCCTTCGCTGAAGGCGATGGATGGGGTGTGTCTGGTGAAGTTGAGTTGTTGTCACTGCCTTGATGTTTTCAGGTGCTTTGTTAAAAGCATTAAATATTGTTCCCTGCCTCTCCCGCAGTGTATAACTGGACAGTTGACGAGGTGGTTCAGTGGCTCATCACCTACGTGGAGCTGCCGCAGTACGAGGAGACCTTCAGAAAGCTGCAGCTGAGCGGACACGCCATGCCCAGGTCAGTGCTCCTCCTGCCTTCCTCTGGGATGGCTGCCAGGGAGAACAACACCTCCGAGGGAGCTCGTAACACCGTGTGCGATTCCTCGGCGTGGGCAGGGCCAAGGCTCAGTCCTGTCCCACCCCAGTTGTGTTTGGAGGCTTTGCCGTGGTCCTCTCTGCAGGGAGAGAACAGAATCATAGAATCATAACACTGTCAAGGTTGGGAGGGACGGAAAGGACCTTAGAGCCCAACCATCAACCCACCACTGACAAACCCACCACTGACCCATGTCCCTCAGCACCACCTCTGCCCGGCTCCGAAATCCCTCCAGGGATGGTGACTCCACCACTGCCCTGGGCAGCCTCTGCCAAGGCTTCACAGCCCTTTCGAGGAAGAAATTCTTCCCAAGCTCCATCCTCAACCTCCCCTGGGGCCACTTGAGGCCGTTTCCTCTTGTCCCATGGCCTGTTCCTTGGGAGAAGAGACCAACTCCCCCTGGCTACACCCTCCTTTCAGGGAGTAGGAGAGAGTGAGAAGGGCTCCCCTCAGCCTCCTTTTCTCCAGGCTCAACACCCCCAGCTCCCTTAGATGTTCTCCAGACCCTTCTCCTTGTGCCCCAGACCCCTCCGTTGCCCTTCTCTGGACATGCTCCAGCCCCTCAAGGTCTTTCCTGTTGTGAGGTGCCCAAAACTGGACCCAGCCCTTGAGGTGGGGCTTCTCCAGTGCCCAGTCCAGGGGGGCAGCCGTCGAGTCCAACCATCAACCCAACACTGACAGAACCCATCACTAAACAGTATCACAGAATTGCCAAGGTTGGAAGGGATCTTTCAGAAATCAGTTGATGAGATGGTTCCTCATCAGGTGATGAGGTGATTCAGCCCAAAGCGAGTGTGTGGAGCTGTGGGTGACAGCAGGGACTGCCATCCCTGTTGTGTGGTAGTGACCGCTATCCTGGCTGGTTTTTGGGCCTGGTTTCACCTGCCGACGCCGGGAGCTGCCTATTGAGAGGTAAAACGCTAGAACTGAGGAGACCTGGGCTGTGTCCTGGTGCAACTGGGAAGAAAAGAAGGTTTTCCAGGCAGTGCATGGTGTGCCCACATTTCTTCTAAGTGAGAAATAGGGTTTTATGGTCTATGGAATAAGATGTCGAGGGCTAGGAATGGTTACAAAATAGAATTGCCAAGGTTGGAAGGGACCTTTCAGAAATCAGTTGATGAGATGGTTCCTCATCAGGTGATGAGGTGATTCAGCCCAAAGCGAGTGTGTGGAGCTGTGGGTGACAGCAGGGACTGCCATCCCTGTTGTGTGGTAGTGACCGCTATCCTGGCTGGTTTTTGGGCCTGGTTTCACCTGCCGACGCCGGGAGCTGCCTCTTGAGAGGTAAAACCCTAGAACTGAGGAGACCTGGGCTGTGTCCTGGTGCAACTGGGAAGAAAAGAAGGTTTTCCAGGCAGTGCATGGTGTGCCCACATTTCTTCTAAGTGAGAAATAGGGTTTTATGGTCTATGGAATAAGATGTCGAGGGCTAGGAATGGTTACAAAATATATTAGTGATTGGTAGGACACCAGAAGATCAGTTTTGTTGGGAAAACGGTAACTTTGGTTGTCAGGATGAATGAAATAAGTGTGGCCTTGGTTTTTCTTCAGCTTGTGAAGCTCAAGGCCCTGCTACTTGACTCTTTCATAGATATATCCTGTATCAGAGGTGACAATATCTGAGGGATTTCTTTTGTCCTCATCACCTGAGGAGCGTTCAGGTTCTGCTCATTGCAGGTCCCCTCCTGTAGTCTCCACGTTACTGATTTTTGGTCAGTTATTAGTCCGGATGGATATGACTATGCTTAATTCTTGCTTTTTATAATTCCTATATTTTTTTTTACAGGCTGGCAGTGAACAACGCCACCATGATGGGGAGTGTTCTGAAGATGACAGACCGGAGCCACCGGCAGAAGCTGCAGCTGAAAGCTCTGGACACGGTGCTCTTTGGGCCTCCTCTCTGTGAGTACGAGCGATGGAAGCTCCTCTGGCTGTTCATCAGCAGCACCTTCATCTGCTGAGCCTTGAGCAGCAACAGCAGATCTGTGTGAGCCACACTTTGCCCTGAGCAGCTCATCCCTGGCCTCTTTCTCCTGGAACAGGCCCCGTGGCCTGGAGGCGTCTTTCCCTCCGGGCTTGGGCTTCCATCTCCCATGGGCCGCTCGCCAGAGGGGACCCTCTGTCCTGTTCAGTGGGGACATAGGGCTTGTCCCACCTCAGGCTGTGGGTTTCTCACCTCTGGATGGGGGGAATGGTGATGGGGGCTGGATGGGAAGGCGTTTGGGATGGATGGGAAGGCGTTTTGGCTGGATGGGAAGGAGGAACTGGGTTCCTTTGATGCTGATGATAAGCCATCAAAGGCTGGCTCCGTCCCGATGCTTATCTCCAGGGTGCTCCTCCTGCCTTCCGTGCTGTCTGGCTCATGTCTCCTGCCTTTATTAAAGATACCTTTGTCTCTCTCCCTCTTACTCATGCCTTTCTCAGGAGCTTTAGGTGCTTTTGTGAGGCAAGCAGAGACCTTGCTGGATCAGGGCCTGTTTCTGCTTGGCTTCGGGCAGATGAGATGGATTTTTGAGGCAGAGCTTTTGAGTCTTACACAGTTCTTCTCTTTCCCTTTTAGCTGTCACGTTGTCCCCTCTGCAGGAGGCTTAAAATTAACAAAAAGGGCACTTTCTTACCCGGCTGCAAATGCAATAATCTGGGCACAAACTCTGGGTCAGGAGCTCCCCCAGCTTGGATCAGCTGGAGCTTTACACTATCAAAAACACCACTTTGTGCTTCCTCTGTTCTTTATGTGGGTTTTTTTAAGCATCTCCTACTGTCTGGGGCTGGAATAGCAGATGGGATGTGCCTTTATTCCACAGGACACGGATGTGCTAATGATTTAATGGAGAAATTTGGGTTTTGGGGGCTTTTTTTTCCAGCCTTCCCTCTCGGGGCTGCCCAGCACTTGGTCGGTGGGAAGCGACAAGACGTTTCCGTGATTTCTTCAATTCTTTTTTAAAAGTCTTGACTTTTAGCGCTCTCTTCTCTTGTTGTCATCTGTGTCCAGATTCCAAGGAAAAGGTCCCGTGAGGCAAATCCTGGGAAAACTGGTTGCGCAAAGGGGGTGAAATTTATGAGGCTTGGCAGAGGCATCGGCTGCGTGAAGTAGAAGCAGAGGTTATACAAGCAGCTGGTTTGGCTGCCAGGTATTATAAAGCAGAAAAATTGAGGCAGAGTTGGCTTTTTTTATTCATGCTTGGCCTGTGTCACAAGCAAAGTGTCCCCAGGGGTGGTGGGGACGTGGTGGGTGACAGCGGCCAGAGCCCAGGGGACTCCTCTGCTTGGAGGGGGAGTTTTTTGGGTTGTTCTAGGATGAAATGGCAAAGTAAAGGACTTGTGATGGTGGGAGATAAGCGGCTGCTCTCCCCGGTGGAGATATCCCGTGGTCGTGGCGCTGGAGCAGGACCCTCTGCCGGTCACCAGATGGAAGGCTGCAGTGAACCGTCCAGATTTGGGTTGGGTCACATCATTTTGGAAGAGATTTTGTGCTCTCTGCACATATCGGGTATGTGAGGAGGAAATACCCTTCCCATTTTTAGCTGAAGCAGAGATGTGACTTCTTAGAAGGTTCTGTTTGCTGTTTTGGGGTTAACTGCACGGATGTGTCTCCGGTTCACTGCGGCACGTGGTGAGAAGTTGTTTATCTCAAACCGGTTCCTTAAGGAACGGGTTGTGAAACGGCATTTTCAGCAGCCGTTAATAATCAGCTCTTTCAGGAAGAACCCGGAGACCTTTTCTGCTCCAGAAGCAGTGAGAGATGTAGTGGTTTTAGCCACGTCCCCCGTTACGGCTCTTCCCCAATGGTCGGTGGAGGTGGTCTCCCGTCATCGCCGCCGTTGAGGGAGGGAAGCTGCTGGCAGATGGTCTGGGTCACAGGTGCAGGATTTCAAGGGTTTGTCTTCTCTCTTGGCAAGGGTTTGTCTTCTCTCCTCACGCTGCTTTCTACTCACCACGAGTATAAAAGCATCAAAAGAAACTCAGCCTGGGCTGGAGCCCCAGGGATGGTTCCTGCTCACATGGAACCAGAGATACCTTGTTGTTGGTGGGGATCACAGCACACGTTCCAAGGGATGGTTCCTGCAGACCCATGGGACCAGAGACATAGAATTGAATCATAGAATGGTTCAGGTTGGAAGGAACCTTTAAGTTCATTGAGATCCAACCCCCCTGTCATGGTGGGGGGACCCATGGAGCCAGAGACATCTCTGGTGGGGAACACAGAACACATTCCAAAGGATGTTTCCTGCAGACCCATGGAAGCAGAGGCGTCTCGTTGGTGGTGGAGATCATGCACATGTTCTAAGGGATGGGTCTTGCAAACCCATGGAACCAGAGATATCTTCTTGTTGGTGGGGATCACAGCACATGTTTCAAGGGATGGTTCCTGCAGACCCATGAAACCAGAGACATTTCATTGGTGGGGATCACAGCACATGTTTCAAGGGATGGTTCCTGCAGACCCATGAAATCAGAGACATTTCATTGGTGGGGATCACGGCACACATTCCAAAGGATGGTTCCTGCAGACCTACGGGACCAAAAAGATCTCGTTGTCGATGGGGATCACAGCACACGTTCCAAGGGATGGTTCCTCTCCACCACATGAAGCTGGGTGAGGCTTTTCCCCATCCCGGGGCTGAAGAGCTGCTTCTCTGGTGTCTCCTGTAATTTGCTGCAAAGGCTTCAGTTAGTTGAGTGGGCTCCTGGCCCATTTCCATGCTGATCCACAGGCTCCTGTAGCCCCACGAGCTCTGGTTTCCCGTGCCAGGCTCCAGACGTGCCATCTCCTGCTCCAGACAGGTCTGCCCACTTGCAGAATTACTTAATCTGTAATTAATCCCGGTGCAAAGGAGCACGGTAAAATCCTAATCTAAGCGAGATGAAGCCATTGCTGCTTCTATGTCTCGTTGGTGTCCTGTTCCTCTGGTTCAGAGCTTTATCCAGCACAAAGTACCACAGCTCCAGGTGAAACAGGAGAGGAGGATTTGAGAAAACAAGCGGTAAAATTAGAAAGAGTAGATATTTTTGGTGAAAAGTGAATTTAAATTTTTGTTCTTTATTAAATCTCAAGTGGTGGAGGCTGAGATGGAATGTTTCCTCACAGCTGGTTGGCACCACTGATGGTACCATTTGGGGTTAGAAGACAAGACAAAGTGCCGTGGACCGAGTGACCCATCCTGGTGACTTCTCTTGGCCACCTCCCCAAAGGCCATCGAAGTGGCCCCTGGGTGTTGCCTGTGGGGTTTCAGGAGAGGTTTCCATAGCTCCATATCCCAGCACAGAGGTCCACCAGGCATAGTGTCCACCAGCAACCAGTTTGCCTGACCAGAACCTGCCCTGGGCTCTGCTGGGGAGTCCCCATCGTTCCCCCAGCCCCTCTTGCTTGCGGCCATCATTAGCCATCATCCTGAGCGTCACCCCTCGTTACTGAACGTCTGTGCCTGGGTTAAGAGAAGTGCAGGGACCAGGTGCCTGGACAAGAAGACGTTTCCCAGGCAGGAGGTGGCACTTGTTGGGGGTTCTTAATGAACTGACCTTCTTTACTTTTCATTAAGCACTTATTCCTTTGGTGCCCTCTCTCTGCGGTGGGAGAAGCCACGTTTCCTTCAGCGGAGCTTCCAACAGAGCCGCTTGTTTCCCTTTACTATAATTAAAGGCGTATTTGACAAGTGCTTTAAGATCTGCTGAATCATTGTTTGTTTAAAGCAATAGAATTTCTTAACCAAATACCAGATTAATTTATCGCTGTGAGATTTACCATCCACTTCAAATATTTACAGTGGGCTGGATGGTGTTTAGATAACCTGCACCTAGAGAGAAGAGCAGCTCTGTCCCATTAATAGACTTCAAGATGGTGAGGGGTCTGGAGAATAAGTCTTATGAGGAGAGGCTGAGGGAACTGGGGGTGTTCAGCCTGGAGAAGAGGAGGCTGAGGGGAGACCTTCTTGCTCTCTCCAACTCCCTGAAAGGAGGGTGTAGAGAGGTGGGGGCCGGTCTCTTTTCTCAAGTCACAGGCGACAGGACGAGAGGAAATGGCCTCAAGTTGCCCCAGGGGAGGTTCAGGCTGGATATTAGGAAACATTTTTTCACTGAAAGGGTTATCAGACATTGGAATGGGCTGCCCAGGGAGGTGGTGGAGGCCCCATCCCTGGAGGTGTTCAAAAGACGGGTTGATGTAGTGCTGGGAGGTCTGGTTTAGTGATGATGCTCCTTGTTTGTTGTGTGGGTGTCTATTTTTGTCAGTTGGGTTGACGGTTGGACAAGATGATCTTTAAGG